TGGGGGAAAAGGGATTGGGGGCTTTCAACAAAAAGGTCAACGAGCAATGCCATCAATATCAACTCACCTTTGGTCAGAGCATGAATGCCCAGCTTGACCTGTGAGAAGTTGCCGGTTCCAATCTCCCCCCTGACCCGGTAGAAAGCGATGCGTCGCCCCAACGTGATCTCCTTCATGACCCGGGGGTCGTTGCTCAGGTCCTGAGACAGCCGCTCATAGGGCGTGACTCTGCTCTGAAACGCCAGCCCCCCGTCCTCGCTAGCTCCGCCCACACTGGCCTCCGTGCTGCTGCGGTGCAGACGCGTCATGGAGGAGGGACCGCCCCCTAACCCGCCGCTGCTACTGCTGCTGGTATGATGGGGCTGCTGGTTGTGCTGTTGGGGCTGCTGTTGCTGCTGCTGTTGCTGTGGGTGGTGGTGTTGGTGGTTGTTGTAGTTGCCGTTGCTGAAGTTGCTGTTGTTGTTATTTTTGTTGCTGTTGTTGTTGTGTGAGGATGGCGGCGGCATTCCGATGCTGCTGTCGACTGCCCTGGCATCATCCTGCTCCTCGTCTGTAGATTGTAACTCCTTCATTATCGCGCCGATGGCCACGAAGAGAAAGATGACGTCGATGAAGACAAAACAATCACGTGGCGGTTTGCATCTCTTTCATTGTTGTATCAATGGTAACGATGATGAAGAAGAAGACGAAGAAAACGTCGAAGATGCTCACGTTCTATCTACCTCCCTCTCATTGTTGCACCAAAAGAAAAGACGATGTGGAAGACGATAATAAGGTGAAAGGAACCAGAAATCTGACTGTGTCTCTTTTACCGTCTCTCCCAGGAAAATGATGTTAAGGAAGTGAAAGCCTCGGTACACAGTTGCACGTGTGGAAAATCAAAGAGTACGACGACGATACTAATAACACAATACACGATGCCTCCATTCTTATCCCCACGCTTTCTCTCATAAATGACACCATATATCTGAAACCAGGTGTTAATTCGGTGAACAACCTTGCGGATTTATAAAAATATCGCAAGCGATTTCGGCCTCGCCAGAACGGTATGAAGTACGTGTAACTTCGCCCACTTCAGAAATGCCAGATCCATGTTCAACTACATGGTGGAACAAACAGGGAATCGATACTTCAGACTGGGGATGGTTGGAGCTTCCTGTGACAAAGAGAAAACAAAATAGATCTCGTTTAAGTTAAAGTTCAATCATAGAGTAATAGAAATTATTTAAAATCATAGTCTATCTCAGGTATTTTTCAGTCAAATGAGAATAGAAAAAAAACAGACCACAGTCCATCTTGCTTTCCAACCCTACAACAATAGATAAAACAGATCTCAGTCAGTTTTATGCATTTGACAATCAAAATCAAATCAAAATAGAAATCAAAAGAGATCCGAATTTGCCAAATCAAGATAGCTTTCGGTCTATTTTATGCGTCTGTCAATCATACCAAAATAGTAATAAAAAAAGGTCTCAGTCTATCTTACATTATCAATAAATCTGTTTCAGTTGAACAAAAATACACAACATAATACGAAGATATATATCACAGAAATCGATGTACAGAAAAGTGGGAAGACATGGAATAACATCAAGAGGCTAGCCCAGGATAGAGAAAAGTGGAGGGTATTTGTCCGTGGCCTATACCCTGATGCAGGGTGAGAAAGGCAATGATGATGATGATGGTGGTGGTTCAGCGCAGACCAGCTGGGGCAACAACGCACGTGAAAATGTTTGCTTGAAAGTTAAAAGAACACGTCGTTTCTTTTTTTTCCCCTTTCTTTTCACAAACTTTTGGGACAAATGCATATCTTCCGATTATATGTAAGCTTGCTTGTTTGTCTTATTTGTTTGTTTGTTTGTTTGTTTGTTTGTTTGAGCTAAGAGACAATGGCAGTTATTTAGTGCAGGGAAAAAGCAGGTCAGACAGACAGAAATAAAAAAGGGAAGGAAAAGAAATTGGACTCATCTGTAGCACTTTTCAACCACCATGAATATAATATGTCTACCAACGGGACTCGCTCATACGTATTTAGTTTATAAAAATAGAATAGCGCCAAAAAAAAAACAGCGTCCACAAATTATGACACACAAGCTATAGGAAACAATAAATAGAGAGTCAAAACAACACAGATTCCCCCCTACATAACTCTCTCCAACATACACAAAACCATTCAACTCTCTCTCTCTCTTCCTCTCTGTCTCTCATTCTCTCTCTCTCTCTCTCTCTCTCTCTCTCTCTCTCTCTCTCTCTCTCTCT